AAGGGGAAAAAAAAAAAAAAAAAAAAAAAGAGCTTGCAAAGGGTTTTTAAATGTAAATGAGCATCTTGAATGCCAAATGCAGCAATGCCCTGCCAGATGCAGTGTCCTCTGATCCCTGTCCAAGCTGGATAGGGATCCCCAAGAGGGATAAAAAGAAAACATGGGTAAAATCTAGGGGCTGAGCCCACGGGGCAGAGCAGACAGTGGGAGCCAGCTTGGCAGGCAGGCAGTTTCCATGGGTTCCGGGCTCGCTCTGGGTGCTGGCAGCGCCGTCCTGATGCTGCTACAGAGGGGGCAAGTCTGGCACCCTGTTACCCCAGCCCAGCCAAAGCTGCCCTGAGCAAACCACTTCCTGAGCAGCCTCGTGCGGCTCCAGTTACCTGGGGTTTATTCGGAGCCCTTTTTCCCCCCCCTAGGTCGATGGCTCTCCAGCAGCCGGCAGGAGCTCCCAGGCTGTGCCGCAGCAGCTCTCTGCGCCTCACTGCAGATCCCGGCCTGCAAGAGAGGGAGGAAGGAGGATTTACTGCAGTCCCTCCGATCTCAGCCGCCTGGCTCGCAGTCAGCCCGGCTCTGCAGAAGTGCCTGGAAAGCAAACTTGCAGCCTACCAGGGAATTTCTGCAGCCGGTTCGGTGACATGAATCACACCCGCTGCCTTCCTGCCGCTTCCCAGAGCCCCTGGGCACCGCAGCGCATTCCAGCCATCCAAACCTCCACGAATTTCGGAGCCAGAGACGGCCACCCATCTCTCACACTCCTCCAAGCCCTGCAGTGCCGACAGCATCCTCCGGAAAGCAAACCTCCTCTTCCTTCCCCACCCTGAGCTCCAGAATTAAGGCGCACCCCTGGCACCCCACACCTCGACCTCCGCGGCACCAGGACCAGACCTGAAGCGAGCCAGCGCCTCGAGCGGGGTGACGAGGCCGAGCAGGGCCCCAGACACCAGCCAAAGGCGGGTGCTCAGCACCCTGCGTGTCCCCCGGGCTAACCAAAGGGGAGGGGGCAGGGCTGCCGGCTCGCCCTGGGATGCGACAGACGCTGGCACAGCCCCACAGAGGTGAATTCCCCCGAGCTCAGCCCTTGGGCAGGGTCCAACACTGCTGTCTGGCTCCAGTCTTGAGGAGAGCCAAGGAAACGGTTCAGGGACTGCAGAGCAGCTCTTGCACTGCCCCACCTTTTCCCACACGTCTCTGTGCAGCTTGAACCGGGTGAAGGGGACAGATGGGGCAGGGTCCCCTTTCCCGAGCTGGAATCTGACAGCCAATAAGCCAGATTTCTGGCACACAGGAGCAGAGGAAGCGTCAGATCCAGAGCCAACCACCTCGATCATCTCCTTCAGACGTACCTGCTCCTTCAGAGCCATTACAGCCAGTCGCCAACAATCCGCCCTTGCTCAACACCCTTCGCCGGGGGAGCTCATCCGCAGGCAGGGCGAGAGGGCAGCCAGACTTGCCACGCAGCGCAGAGCCGGGAGCCAAGTGTAGCTGTTTGCTCCCCCTGCTCCAGCGATTCTCCCCAGCTCCTTTCCAGGCTGGGAAAAACATCCCAGCCCTGGCCGGTCTTCCGGCGAGGGGCTGAGGGGAGCTGCAGCGTGCAGCAGCACCAAGCACGCAGGAAAAGTGGGATGCAAGATGCGCAGCACCCAAATGAGGAAGAGAAAAAGGCTCTGACCTTGCAGCCTGTCTTCTCGCCAAACTTACTTTAAGCCGGTCTTGCAAACTGGATTCAAGGGGCTGAAGGAGTTTGTCAGGATGTGGTAGCAAACCAGGAGCTGGGTGTCAGAAGGGAGCACCCAGAGCTCACCCACACCCAGGCCGGGCTCCTCGGGTCCGTTTTGAGGACAAGACTTTGCAGCGGCACAAACCCACACCCTTGCTGAGACCCTGGATCTCCCATCCCAGGGCACCATCGCCCCCCCCAGCTCACTGCAGCCTCCTGCTCTCTCCTCTCCAAAGCCCCTAACAACAGCGAAACCAGAGGGGGTGCCGTCAGCAACCCCCGCCGTACCCCCAGCTCACAGGCTGTGCTGGCCAGGCGCAGCGTTACGCAGACGCGGGTAGCTCAGTGCCACTCATGCTGCCCGCAGGAGGTTTTCAGCTTCTAGAAGCCAAGACATGTTGCCTGGGAAGGGACGCGGTGCCACGCTTCCAGGGGAACGAGTGACCTAAGCACCACACGCGCATTTGAACCCTGCCCAAGACACCCCAGGTCCCTGGTTCTTACAGCGGGGAGGGCTCACAGACCCTGTGCCTGCCCAGAACAGGAGTTCACCAGCTGATAAGAAGTTTTGATCAGCTTGACACGTGATTCCAGAAGGGTCTGAGGGAGAGAGGAAGGAAGCAAACGCAGGGAGATGCGTCCACACCAGCCCCACGCACACACACACCCCCTGTGCGTTAAGGGGTGTATGGTAGCACCTAAAGCAGGGGGAAGGGGAAGAGGAGAAGGAACTCAGAGGGCAAGCTTCGAGGAAACGGCTCACCCAGAAAGCAGTGGAGCTGAGGATTGACAGGGAAAGAAAACTCCGAGGACCGAGCAGCCTCTCGCAGCTGCAAATAAAGCTCTTGAGGTGGATCAGTAAAACCCACGGTCAGCACAGTTAGAGAAAATTAAGGCAGACTTAAAGAACCCAAATATTGAGACGGGGAACTGAGGCTGTGGGGACTTCACGCAGCTACTCCCTGCTGATACAGAGCAACTCCAAGCCAACACAACAGGCCAGGCAGGAGGCAGTGACAGCTCCCCACACCTCTGAGCAGCACGGCACGTCCCCAGGCCCTGCGAACAGACCCCCCGGGCCAGGCACAGACACCAGTGGGGGAACAGCAAAACGCACCCCTGGAAGAGGAGAAGGAGCATCTGAGGATACAAGAGCCAACTGCTAAAGAGCCCGGTGCTGAACTCATTTTCTCCTCCTCGTTCACAGCAGTGAAGTGATGGACAGTGCATGGCCGTGGGTGCAGCTCCCAGCCCCTATCCCTGCCCCACGGCTGGGACAAAGCCCCGAGGGCTCACATCAGCCCCACACGCACTCCCTAGGGCAGCAGGTATTTTTCCTAAGGACCAGCCTAACTGGAGGCAGCCTTAGCTCGGGCTCAGCCCTGCAGCACGCAGCAACGCTCCTGAACCCCGCGCTCGGCTCACCCCTTCACGTCTCCCCGCAGAAGGACCCAGGACTGTCCCATCCACCGGCCAGGCTGTGCCGTCACAAAACCACCCACCGCACCGCCACGGCATGGCACGGGCCACCCTGCACCACAGAGCCCCGAGGGCTGACAAGACCCTACAGCTCCCACCTAACATAGAGCAAGTGGTAAAAACACACCCCAACAGAACTGCCCAAAGGCAGCGAGTGCCAGGAATTATCCCCCACCTTCTGTAACAAGAAGGGCCACCGATTAACAGCACCACCGAGTGCAGATGAGGGGCTGGCAGCCAGCGTGTCCTCCCACAGAGCTGTGACCGACCGACCCATCAACCAGTGGGTTCAAGACCCCCTGTCAGTAACCAATAAGCCTGGCCAAACACACCGCAGCGTTAGCAAGGTGCCCAAAATCGCAGGGGATCAATTCACTTGCTGAGTTGCCGCTTGAGCAATCAGAAACCCCCCAGTGCCAGCATCCAGCCCTTACCCCAGCCGGCAGAAGGGCCTCGCGAGCAGCCGTGCGCAGAGCACGTGAGTCACAGCTGAGAGAGCCCAGCAACAACTGGGGAATCACAGCACAGTTTAGGTTGGAAAGGACCTTAAAGATCACCTAGTTCCAACCCCCCTGCCATGGGCAGGGACACCTTCCACTAGACCAGGTTGCTCCAAGCCTCATCCAGCCTGGCCTTGGACACTTCCAGGGATGGGGCATCCACAGCTTCTCTGGGCAACCTGTCCCAGTGCCTCCCCACCCTCTCCAGGAAGAACTTCTTCCTGATATGTAATCTAAATCTACTCACTTTCAGTTTAAATCAATTAAAATAAAACCCATAAACAGAAGTTTTTTGGGAGTCCCACTCCCTTCCCAGGGGTCCCACTCCCTTCCTGGGTGTCCCAGCTCCCTTCTTGGGATCTCCCGCACCGCATGCTGAACGGGGGGATCCCAGTGCTGCAGAGCCCAGAGCACTGCGCTCTGGAGAGCCGGGGTGGGCT